CAACGCTCATGCCAATCTGGTTCAAAGCGCATCTCCGTGTACACGTGAAAAAGTGACTTCTTATACGCCCAAATGCAAGTGGTGAGGAAACTGAGGTTAGCTCATAGTGTCAGACTGCAAAGAGCCTCTACAGCTTAATCCTAGGATGTTGCCGATTTCTGGATTTCTGACGTCCCATTATTCATTTAGTGGCGAATCACAAACTCATACCCAGAAAAAGACCTAAAACAACGAAAAATCTCCGCGACTACAGTAACAGAAGTGAAATTTATAGGATACTCCTATCAGATCAACCATTTAAGTCAGAAAAAAGGAAAAAAAAAACTGTAATTCCCAAAGGTGTGGCAAAAAATGACGTCCGCAATCTACAGTTTTCATCGCAATTCCCATCACGGCAAAGGGCAAAAAAGAAAAGAATGTTTCGCTGGACAGCCCAAACGAAACGTGCTCAATAATCATTCTGTTTCGTTACAAAAAGTGGAAAATATGCAAAATGCTTAATCCAGCTATAAAAATCCATATTTTTACTGGACGTACTTTTCAACAGCTTTAACAGTTGGAGGAAAAAGGCGTCCCAGGCAATACCCCACACTGTGCCTCCTGGACTTTCGGTATTGTAGACCGTGAGTGAGGGTGAAGATAATTTAACATAAAAAAAACCCCTTTTCCGTCTCAACCGTTGCAGTAAATGCTGTAAAAGGAAAAGTGCGGTGATGCATAGTCCATGCTTGATGCGGTCCTTAGCTTAAGCGCACATACAGTCAAGCATTTTGCCTTTTTTATATTAAACTGCTGATAATCAGAGATACACGCATCGGGCCGGCAAAATTTTTTCTTTACACTAATAAGGAGTCACAGACGACGCGGTAATGCATGCCTGGCTTGGCGCATACCCAGCTGCTCTTCCCCCTTCCACCCCCTTTTTTCCCGGACGCATTTTCTTCGCCTAGGTGTCATTTTAATGCAACAAGCGTAACTGCAAATTGTCAAGCAATCCGAAAGTGCACGCACAACAGCTTCCAGACCGATACAGGCAAATTAGAAGTTAGGAATGTATTTGAGCGGCAAACGCCATTCCCCAAATTATACTCTTCCAGGGGCAACATTACCCACTTCTCTGAAAAATCGAGCTCCAGGATGATACATGATTTCTTACACCAATCAACAGTACGATAAGGAGGGGATCGAGGAGTGATTCGCAAATCAATCTTCCAGACGCCTTTAATGTTTGCATCGCGCCCATTTGCAAAATTCTAAGTTTTACATGTATGGTTACAAATTTTTTTGTTAATCAATCAGTCAATGAGATTTGCCAGCTATCTTCAGAGGTGCAGCAAGGACACAGCTTGCTTTTATATTCAGAAAAACAGTAAAAAATGTTTAGAAAAATCGGAGAAAGCTGGCAAGAAAGAATGCTGGAGACAAAACACGGAAAATGGAAGTATGAGGAAAATAGAGCAGAATAGCCAGATGACCAAGTCAATTTTGAGCCTTCTTCTAACTCCGTTTTTGCCCACATCCAAAGGTCGTAATTCCATCCAGTCATGATATTCAGTTAACACCCACTCACTTTCTGACTGTAGTAGAATGGGCATTCAAGACATGTCGAAGTGTGGTCCCAATTTCACTGGCAAAGAGAGCAACCAGAGAGCCCAATGGACCGGTTATAACAGAGCAAGGCGAGTGGGCTGTAAGAACCGAAAAAAAAAAAAAACCCTTTCTAATTTTACGGTCATTATTACAAATCATCCACTTGCGCTTCCAAGCAAAATTTGATTAGGACATAAACTCTCTCAAAATTTGAAAGAGACCGTTATTTGTTTGTGAACAATATAGGAAATCTGAACTGGAAACAAAAATTTTTAGCTTTCTACCCCCAAAATGCAATGCATTTACTACAATGTCACTAAGGTTTCCACGTGATAGACGTGCGTGCACGTATATCTATGCACTCGTGCGTGTGCGTGTGTGTGTGTCGGTCATTATATGCGCAGGCAGCAATTGCCCTACGGCGGAACATCGGCTGTCTGCTGGCGGCGAACGTACAATTCATAACAGGAGTGAAACCATGCAACTAGTTTTTTATTCGATTATGTGTGATGACGTCAAATTAAACGGAGCATGATCGCTACGTCCACTCGTACTACCCAATTCACATCCCGGTGCAACCTCCGCCCCATTCCCATCCCCTCGATGCTAAGGAACTCCCGAATAACTGGCTTATAATAACGCGCAGTGCAGAAGAAAAAAGGAATAATTGTTTAAAAATCATTTGTAAAAAGAGAGAGGGATGAAACCTGTCGAGGAGAGTGGGTGGCATTGGCACTGTTCCGCTCGCTAGGCGATTAAACGCAGTTTCCAATACTGCCTGCAAGCCAGCTTGAAACGCAACTTCGATAAGCGATATGCCTGAAAACCTCAACATTGCCCTGTGTGTTCATGCATCCGACACGAGCAACACACACATCGCGCTCTGATAACCGAATAAAAATGCATACGTGGCGAAAAATTATTCTGACGCACTTCAACGCGCAAAGAAATTGGTACGGTGCTCCAGGAAAATTAATCCGACATGGCTGCGAGGGAAGAGAGGAGGAGAGGAGCGAGCACTCCGAATGCAGCCAAACTTGAACAGTTTTTATGCGTTTTTGCCGTGCAGCGCTAGAGCGCTGCAACAGGCAGCAAAAAGGCATATTGCAAC